CTCCCAAGTAGCTGGGACTAAAGGTGCCTGCCACAACGCCTGCCTGAGTTTTCTATTTTTAGTAGAAACAGGAGTCTCCTACTTTTTCAGGCTGGTCTTGAACCCCTGAGCTTGAGCAATCCACCTGCCTCAGCCTCGCAGACTGCTAGGATTACAGGTGAGAGCAACCATGCCTGGCTGACCCTTCTTTTAAAAAAATTTTTTTTAGAGACTCTCTGTGTTCCTTAAGCTGGTCTCAAACTCCTGGTCTAAAGTAATCCTCCTACCTCAGCCTCCCCAGTAGCTGGGACTACAGGTGTGAGTCATGACTACCTCTTAATTGAGAGGCAGATGAATGGATGCTGGCCCTTCCTTCCGTAAATATAGTGACTACTTCCTAGAAATCCCAAATAGTCAAGGCCAACAGGCCTCTGATGCTCCCACCACTTGTGTTTAGAAACTCACTCCAATTCAGCTGGGTTTGTTCCCAAACCTGTTATATCAGCACTGCTGGCAATAATGAAATTTGATTAAACATGTAACTAACAAAATACGAGTTCCAAAAGATAGTTATAAAGTATATGGAAACTAAGTTAAATCCTTGGAAGAGACTGGCCAACTCTTAAAAAGTTTCTCTTGAATTGGTTCTGTAAGAAAATGGAAAGATTAGGGGTAAAAGTCATAAAAGTCTGGATGAGTTCATTACTCAGATCACTTCATGAGTGTCTCGAAGTTTCTACTCTAAAGGAAAGAATATAGTATATTATGGAGAGTGCTTTATAGGAGGAAGACAGTGAAGAACTAAAATGATGGGTGAATGAATACACAGTATATTTATAGGGTCTAAAATGGGTGGGGAACCTACTGCCTTGGGGCCCCGTGTGGCCTTTTGATTGAATCCAAATTTCACAGAATAAATCCTTTTATTAAAAGGGGTGCAGCAGAGAAAAATGAAGCTTTTCTTGCCTCCTTTGGAGCTTAAAAAAAGAGCAACCTTGAAATCAGAAGGCCACAGGTTCCCCACTGTTGTGTGGGCATCAGATAGAAGGGATTTTACTATATTTATTTACGACAATATGATTTCAAGAGTCTTATCACTACCAGCTGAGTGGGGTGGTGTGTGCCTGTAATCCCAGCTACTGGGGAGGCTAAAGTGGAAGGATTGCTTGAGGCCAGGAGTTCAAGGTGAAGTGGGTGTGGGTTAGTCCCATTGCTAACATGTCCTAGTGATTTGTGTCCGTGTCCCTCCCTGTTATTTAAGTGAGTCTTGATATCACTATGATTACATCAAGGTAAGAAAACATTTATGTTCATTGGTAGCATCAACTTTCATTGATTTGCCTGTAGTTAAGAATTGATTTGCATGAACAGCACTGATTGGTTTCTTAAAGCAAGGATCATTTGCATAGGTGGTGGTGAATGGTTCATAGGATATTTGTATGCAAGCATCTGATTGGTTAACAGTGTAAGACCGGGTTTCTGAATTTGTTTGGGTAGGAGTAGTGGGGTGCAGCAGCTCCTTACTGAAGCTGGAGAAGGCACCTCTCTCCCAACTCCCAGGTTGGCCAAGGCCACAGAAATATATTTCATTGGTGACATTGCTTGCTCATGCCACCCCATGAGTTCCCCCCAAATCCTCATCTTTGCCAGCTCAAAAACTCCATGGTGGAAGGGCGAAGGGGTGATGTGAAGGGAGGGAGGGAAGAAGTACAGCAACTCACCTGCCAGGGCCAGCTGTTGGGCCTCACATCTTCACCTCCAACCACCCTGGACACCGAGGGCCAGTAAGTTGGGAGCCCACAGCTGAGAGCTGTGATAAGAGAAAGGGTCGTGAGTCGGGGTAGCAGTGACCTAAGCAATGTACATTACACTCACGGTATTCCTACCCCTTAATTAGAAATCCTTGTTCTAGAAGGATCCCAAGAGGTCCTAGAGTTCGGCTATTTCCTCCAATTCTTTTCAACTCCAGTCCACTCCTTTCTTACAGGTATAGGACTTCGTGCAATGGGGACAGGGGTTGGAGAGTGGAAAGCAGGAGAGCGGAAACCATCTCCATCCACATCAGGGGATAGAAAATCAAGGCCTCTAGGTGACAGGGCTTACCTCCAACTACCAAAGCAGACAGAAGTAGGGTCCTGATCATGGTGTGTCTATAGGTGTTCTGTAAGCTTGGCCCTGGCTAATGCCCTGGTCTTATGAATGACTGTCTTATCAGCAAAAGATATACCGGGAGCATGCAAGATGGGGATTTTCCCAAAGCCCAGTGGAAAAAAGAGCTTGTGTCCAAGTATTTTTTTTTCCATTTTCTTCCAAACATCACCCTGAAAATACTTTGGAAAAAAGTCAAAGGTAGATCTTGAAATATCTTCTTTCAAGTGATTATGTTATGCGTTAGGGG